GAGTGATGATAAGAAAACTGAACTGTGAAACAGACACTAGGTTTTGCCAACTTCTCTGAGCAGCTGTACTGCAATTCAAGCCATGAACAGAGGTCACTGGAAAAACAGAATCACTGAGCAGATTCCTTTGCTCCTCTTGCTTGATTTATCTATGGCGAAGTGATATCTAAATTTCAAATGAACTGTATACACACAAAGATGCAAAAAATTGATCAGTCTATAACTGCAGAGCATGTTACTGGAGGGGAAAGAAAAAATCCACCATGTAGCAGAGATCAGCTTTTGGGGACTGTCATAAGCGACTGTATGATATGTGCTCACAGAAAAGTTAAGTTACTAGGGGACATATAAACCAGGGCATTACCTTGCAGTGGAACAGCTATAACTAAGAACATGTATGCATGCTCTTACTTCTTGGGAACAATGCTTTAGCCTCGATGTAAACTACTCACGCTTGCCTCAAAGTAACGGCAGTCACATGGAAAACTGCCACAACAGTCGAGACACTGTACATTAACAGTATGTTTTTCCCCCTCTATGAACTTGCTCCTCTCCTCATAGCTCAGATGCGTTTTGGAAAACAGGGCAGAATTAGTCTATCAGAGTCAATGTCATAAAATAAATTCTTGTTCAAAGATTCACCTAATGCTGTTCAAGAGGAAGCAACTTCCAACCATGTTGATTTGTGAAAGTACCCCCATTCTGTGCATTAGAAGATGGTTAATTTGAAAAGCAGTTGCTTTTACAGCCCTGAGGTCACCAAAACAGCTTTCGCAATTAGAATTCAGCTCTAATGTCAGTGTCTTGAAAAAAAAAATACATCCAAAGAAAACAATTACATAAAACAGTTTCTCTGTTACTGGTTCTATTACAGCCATAACTGAACTAGATCAGCACAAAATGTACACAATTAACTGCTCTGAGGATACCTGTGGAAATGCCCTAGAAAAGCAAGCGAATCCACTGAGTGTTTGAGCATGCTGCAGTGATTACATTTGCATTTAGTGCTTATTACGTTTCCTTCAGGAAAGTTCTCTGCCCCCAGTAAATCTTAGGCTACTATGACCATGGTTACCATGTCCCTAACTGAAATGGAAGATTCTTTCCCTTCACATTAACAAACAGAAGCAGACCTTACCTGCAAGTGCCTTTCAAAGCACAGTTCTAGCATGTTTAACATATATGACTTGTATAAAATAGAAGCCTAACAAAGCTCAGTGAAAGGGAAAGTCACAGCACAAGAAAAGGAGAAACAGTGAACCTCAGAACATGCTCAGGGCATCAGAAAGCTACAGATGTGGCAGCTCGAACCGGCTGATGTAAGGGAACACTATTTTGCACTAAAAGACAGTGGGAAGGATTCAACAAGTACCAGAACTGCTTCAGAAAAAGTGATTCTATAATAGCAGGCTAGTTTATTAACTTAATTTTCCTTCTGAAGCTACCATAACAAGTATCCAACATCTCTAACTGTATTTCTTCTGTCGGTACTGTCACTTTCATAAATACTCTAAGTGAATGTATTAAATAAGGAGAACAATACCTACCACTGATGCAAACTAATATTTTTGGTCCTTTTCTTGTAAGAGCAAGAGCACATCAGTTAACAGGACTGCCAGAATATCTACAGTAACAACAGAGAAAAAAAAAAGAAAAAAACAAAAAAAAGCAGATTTTAAAGCACAAAGACTGGTCCAGACTCAAAAATCACTTGACTTAAATTTCCTGTGGGTCAGGGAATAGCACGTCAGCATTTGCAATATTGGGTGTGCCACTGCCTTCCACCTAGGTTGTCCACAGACAGCTTGCAGTCGTGCAGAACCAGCACAATACAAATAGAGCCGATTTAAAGCTTGAAAACACCTACATAGGCACCCTACACATCCACTCAAGCACTCACGAGGGAACATGTCTCCCTCAACAGCAGATTCTTCTGGAACTGCAGACGTTCACAGTACCACCTGCTCTTGGCTGCATTTTATGTACCATCGAAGCTTCTCCCTGAACACTTGAGCAATGAAGCTGTTAAAATATTCACCGACGGACACTGTTTTGATTTTCTGGCAAAACAGATATTATGCAGAATGAAGGTGTCATGGGGTTGACACGATACAATTTTTCAGAGTGTGAACCAGAGCTCGCACAAGATAATGCCTTTCCACAGGAGACTATGTCAGTGTGACTCAAAGCTTTGTCATCTACCTAAAGACCTCCCTCTTGAATTGGAAAGCAGATCAGACAGATAATAAGCAAACAGCATAAGGAACTTATCATGCACCATTATAGAGATGCTTATTGGACAAGCCAAGGATAGAGCAAGTGCTATTTTCTCCAATATCCTATTAAACAAGCAGGTTATTGTCATCTTATTTTATACTCAATCAATCAGTAATAAACAGTTACTAAAAAAAAATAAATAATAATGAAAAAAAATTTGTTTCCTAGTCGTACTTTTCCCCTTCCTGGTCATTTACCTTTGAGTCGCCCTGATGCAGCTTTCCAATACAGCAACCCATCCAGCAGAAGCCGCCTCTGTCCCATGTCATCCTTCCGGAAGAAAAGCCCATTCTTGCATTTCCCGGAGGATTTTAGCTCCATTTTATGCATAATCTCTTTGAGGCGCTGCCCCTTCTCGCACTCATTTACCATGGCATCTACATGAGTGATCGTGTCCTTAATTAAACTAAGGGCCTGGGTCAGTTCTTCATAATCTCTAGTTCCAGCTAAGAGAAAAGAGTAGCAGTCAGTCACATTTTCAACTCTGGAATGCAAGATATGAGCCACCCAAATGTATTTTAACATGAAGGTTCCATACTGCACATCTAACAGTATTTCCTAAGAGCTTAAGTTTAAAAATAAAATGAAATAAAATAAAATATCCTAAAGCTCTAAATCTCTAATGAACTGACAGGCTTAACTACTATGGTTTTGTGGTTGCAGACTTGAAACTGAATGCTGCTCTCGACCCTCTGATGAGGTGAGGCTGATCTGGATCTGCATCTAGAACGGCATCTTCAGCTAACAAAGAAGTGAGAAAGCAGGTATAAGGCAGTACCAGCCTGTCCCTCCTTGTCTGAGGAAAGAACATGCAAAACACAGGAGAAAAAGGATCAGCAGACAACTGTGAGGCTTCTAGGAAAGATGAAACAACCTACCTTCTGTATTCTGAATAATACGTTCCACCAGGACTGGATATTTGGTGATGCGCTGTGTAACTAGAAGGATACACTCCTGAACACCAAGTCTCCTCACAATGGAACAGTTGCTGATTTTCTAGAAAACAAGACAGACTCATCGCATCCATTGTATATATTTTGCTCTTCTAACTCCTTCGCCTCTCCATTCACACATTTTCTGTCTCAAAACATTTTTGTACAATTAGGCATAGCACCACAAAATTAGTTGCACTCTTTTACTAAAGCAAAACTCCTGATAACATCCAAAAAATTGCTTTTATTACTGGAAAATATTTTAGGTATTATTTTCAGCTACTGTTAACTAAATCTGGAGCCAAGCAGAGAAAGTCCCAAATGTGAACCGTTTGACTGCCTGTTTGCTAACTGATTGCCTTTTATAATAGGATCAGTCCTTACATACATAGAAAATGACTATATTTTAAAATGAGACCCAACCACCTAACAGCCAAATTAGGCCAATAATGAGTAAACTAAGTGCTTATTTTACCACTGTATGTTCACCAGTAGGCTGATCTACAGAAACACATTTCTGTTCAGAAAGGGAAGACTGTAAAGCATCAGAATCCCACTAGTTAGCCTGACTGCAGGTACAGAACAATCCTGACAGCAGAATACAGTACCAAGATCTTTCTTTACAAGGACTGAGGCTATGTATTTTAAAACTCTGGACACTTATTTAGTTCCTTGAAAGTAAAGGGTTCTCACTTTTAAAGACACCTAGTTAAGAAGAGCTATAAGTATAGAACTATGTTGGAAAGTTCACACAGTATCACTTACTGATGACTGGAAAATGAGAATACTTAGGACTGTGCAATGCCATCTGAGATTCAGGTTACAGGCTTCCACTTTGGCCGTGTCTCTTCAGCCCTTCCTATTAATTGCACATTACAGTGTACGGCAGATAAACAAACCACTCTGGAGCCAATCTTCTGGTTTTGGAAAGATGACGCAGTGGGCAAAACTTGACTAAGAGTACCTGCTTTTTCTTTAGTAGTTCATCGACAGCATTTATCATTGATTTAATTTATTATCAAGCCAATTTACAAAGATGGCCACACAGCAGGGCAGTCAGTGATAAGAGCCATGAACAGAACAAATACTCTGTTCCCCAGTCCTATGTGCTCTCAAGAGCCTGCCTCAAATTTAACACCTGCTAATTGTGGCTTTGTGTCCAAACAGCTCAAAAAATCTAAAATACAGGAAGCTAACAACCCATCAAATAACGAGAATATGCCTCTAACCCTGCTCATTCAAATTTAAGAGATCTTCAAGTACAAAATAAAACCTAAAGCAGTCAAGTATACTTTGCACAGTCAGAATGGGAGACTTCTGGTTGTTGTTTACCTTTATTAAGTTTTGGAACTTCTTATTGCTTTGGAGCAGGTCTTTATAGTGACTAACAGCTTCATTGTGTCCGCAACAGAACACACCGTATTTTTCTTTCATTCTCTCCCCATTTTCACCTGAAAACTAATTGGAAATATAAGAATGAAAAACATGAATCATTAAGAGTAAACCTACCTCCACTGCAAGACTCGGGTTTAACATGGTTTTATGGTAACTGATTTCTGAGACATTTCTTCAATATTTCAATTTCTTCTGTACCAGAAATGAGAGATTTATGCAGTGTGACATCTGAGAGCTTGGAATACCACAAGATAACCAAATATTAAATGATGGTTGTCATTATGAGAAGTTTAAAAAGGATTTCTGGGCCTCTGTACTTAAAAAGACTGAGGACTGTAAAAAGTGAAGGGCAAAAACTGGTCACGATGTATGAAAGAAACTGTATGAAATCCATACCAGAATGGGTGCTAAAGCTGTAATGAGTTCAAAGGATCCTTACTGCATTTTTAAAAGGTCAGAACCAAGAAGCTTGGCATTAAATGCAGGAGAGCCGCGTTTGGGATGGACACCAGCAATATGTTACTTTACTTTTGGAACAGATGAAAAATAGAACCAAACCATCTGCAGTCGCATATCCCACAGCATGCACACGCACATGCCCAAAGAACATTTAATGAACGTTTCCTATTATTTGTGACCAGATATGTTCCTGAGAGTCACGCTCACACATTACACTGGGAAGATAATCTTATACCTGGTATTAAATCAATCTTTACATAACATAACTTTAACCTTACAGTTAGCTTTTTAGAAATTTAACAGTGTCAACAACATTGGTAGAATTTAATTCACACCTGTTTTACCAAGAGGTCTCCAATGTTCTGGATTGTATAATTTCGGTCACTGCCTTCTTCCAAGGATTCCTTTCGTCGCTCCTTTAATTGGAGCAGAAATTGCCCATGCATCTCCAGCAGCTCATCCACACAGGGGAAGAGCTTGTTGATGACTGCATTTGGGAACTGCAGTTCCTCTCTCATGGCTTTGGAGTATACCTTCAGCATTATTTTCAGTGTCCTAACATGGTGCATTTCAGTCTGCATTAGTTCTGGGCAAGGGGAAATAAAAAAAAAAAAAAATCAAAAGTTATTTATGTGCTGTGCAGTGACTAGTGAGATATAAAAGAGCAGGCTCCGAAAGCCACCATCTTTTGCACCACCACCTTCTTCACCACAATCTTTGCATCGCTGACGTGAAGCTCCTAAATTTGCCCTGTTTAATCTCCCAACCAAACAGTACTGACCCTACTTATTTAATGACATCTCCCAGTTGCAGTTGAGCTATTCCCTAATTGTATAGCTGGGCTTTGCTGCTTACACAGGCATACTGAAAACTATGCATTGCTTAAAATCATTAATAGGAGGACTTATGCACACTAAGACAGGTAATAGACTTGAAAGTCTTCACTCAATTTTAGTTTTCAAGCACAAGTCAAAATGGGAGCCAATAAAAATTATTTCTGCTTTGTTACAAATCAGTGGCACTATAAAATAGGAAAAGTTATAAGAATAACAAATAGGCTTACCATAAATGACATCTTGCCTTTTTATAACGTCTTTCTTTTGCCTTTTTGCATAAGACTGTTCCACTGCAACACTCCAAGACTCTGCCTCAAACTCATGAGCATCTGTTTCTATTTCACTTCGGAGGGATACAGAATATGCATCTAGACCAAAAGCACATTCAATTTCAATCATTATTAAATTGTTTCCCACCATATCCCTCATTACCATCATTAACAACAACAAGAGTAAAAACATCCCAGTGCTGCCTTAAGACCGTGTAAGAAATTGCATAAAAATCCTGAAAAGCACAGAAATTCCATACCTTCCAGAAAAATGGAGTCTGCTGTTGAAGGTGCAAGCGAGACAACATCATCTGAAGTCTGCTTAAATTTTATAAAGCCTGAATCTCCTTCATCCATGTCTCCTGAAATTAGCCTAAATGGCCAAAGAAATTAGACCAAGAGACCAAAACAGAACATTAACATTTTTTTAAGTTGCTTGACAAAAAAAAACCCCCAAATCCAACTACTTTAACAAGCATCTTTCCTAAACTATAGTGCAATTAACTTAAAATAAATATAGAAAAGCTATTGCTGCACCCTAACTTTAAACAGTCAAATCAATTTAGCAACTCCATGACTGAAATATTACAGTTTTAATTAGAACAGCATGAGCAAGTATGTGACTTCTGATATGACATTTTAAAAGACATCACCTAGTGACAAGCCACAGCCAGTTCAGAGTACAAAGGGCATTTGCACTGAGAAGGGAGTGTAACTGTGGCACATAAAAAGTAAACAACTACTTAAACCAGCAGATAGCTTGGAATTCGTCTACTATTTTAATCAAGGTATCCTGCAATTTAAAACACTGCTGTCTCCTACACTAGTCAGAACTAGCACAACCTAGAATAACTGAACTCAGAAAAGATTACTGAATTTCAACAAGTCTGAAGACAAATATACCCATGAAAACCACAATCTGGACAGAGATACTCAAATACTGCCCTATTTTACATGATCTCTTTCGTGACATAGTACAGAGGGACTAAAGACAAGGTGATTTAAGCAAAAAAACCCATAGCTTACTGTTTAGGGACATGAATTTCCGCATTAAAAGCTCAATAAATCTCTTTTGAGCTTGAAAGCAAATGTGAGTTCTTGCTTTAGTTCTGTAATTGTTTTTCTTTTCACACTGGGGGGGGGAGTGGGTGGGGGGCAGCAGAAGCTAGTGAATTAGAAGAGAAGCAGGTTACTTACCCAAATTTATTAACAGCTCCAGCAGTATTCAGTGAAGACTGAGAATTTCCTCTTTGGGCGATAGTCATACCGAGATTCCGTGACAGAACTGGGGTGCCATCCGGTCCCAGGAGAAGACTTCGGGGCTGCTCCTTCAAAGAAGCGGCTAGAGAGGCAAAAATTGAATTGGTACTCAGAAAATGAGGCGTACACTGCAGATCGCCTGCTCTCAAACCTCTCTCTGAATGCGGACGGAGAACAGACAGGATCTTGGATGTCAAGAGCTCATTGTCCAAAAAAACATTCTCATTCCATTTTCGTGAAAAGGAACCACAAAAAGACAGCTCGGGATGAGCTGGGATTGTATTGCTTCTGCCACTGCTTTTTGAATTTGTATTCCCCATGCTCACTACTGGCTGCCCTCAGACCTGGCACAGTAAAGTGGCCCCAGAGATGCGCTGTTTTTATACTACCTGTGATCCTTCTAGAAATGTAAAGCTGCCACTTAACTTACTGTATTGGCTAAATCAGCAGGTCTGAAGTGCAGGAAATTGGTCCCTACTGTGCCCATTTAGTGTGGAAATTGCAAAGTATCTCCTCCTTTAGTAAAACACCAGAACCTACACACAATTATTCACACCCTACCTTATAAGGGCACAGAACATTTCATGGCAAACAAGAAAAATCTGAGATCACATAAAAACTGCAAGTTCTTTGCAATGCTTATTGCTACACAGTGATTTATATCTGCATGCACACACACTCTACGTAATAGATACCAGAGCTAAATTTAATTTTAATACTGCAGCTTTTTAATGCTTTTTAAATCTAGACAGACTGTGAACTGGAAAGATATTTAAAACTTTAATCACTATTATACAATACATGGAAGCCTGTAATAGACTTATAAAAAATGGATACAATTATTTAGTGCTAATATCTGTAATGAATTATAAGGAACAGTAGACAAAATACATCCTTTCAAAAAAGGATCTTCAGGGAAGTCAAAGATGAAGACTCAGCTACAAAAATCTTAAAAATTTATCACTGACAAGGTCTGCAGCTGCCCTTCTTTCAAAGTGCTTTTAAGGACATGGGAGTGGAAGAGATCTTGTGGATCCTTGAACCCAGGACTCTGCCACTGCAAGGAAGCTTTGTCTTACACCCAGACCGGTCTCCTCTTCCAGTACTGTGGCTGGGAGGCTGCTTCAGGACCATGCTGTTGTAGCCGTTCAAGAGGGTCTCTGGTTCCCAGCCAAGGTTTATGCATCGCCAATTTACAACTTTTCTTGTAAAAACACTGGTGTCTACCCATCCCCAAAAGCTCCCCTTTCTTAGTCTGCACTCCTCGGTGTACCTTCACTAACAATCATCTCCCCCTCCACTTCTGCCTTGCTCAACCAAACGCAGCTAAATCAAGGTATTCGTGTTTCTTCTCATAAAACAGGTTTTTCCACATTTCTTGATATCCCATACTCTACATCTGCTTGTCTCTCATTTCACCTTCCGTGAAACAGTTTACTAGAATCGTATTAGGGCTGCAGGGGAGGATTCATCAATGACATTTAATAGAAATTATATCACCACATCTTTTCCTGCTGGAAATACCTTTCCCAATACCTGTTTGGGTTTGAAATCTCTTGGCTACACGTGCAGCACATTCTCAGTCTACAGCAAACTGGGTAAACTGAGTCCTCTTCCATCGTCTCCAAGTGATGAGCTCCAAGCCCGTTGTCCCAAAAGAGGAGACTAAGTAGGTATTAGCAAGATCTGTAAAGGCGGATTTCTTAAACAAAGGCTTAATAATAAATGCCCTCCCGTTTCCATCTGGGGAAGTACTGAAATCAGCAGCCATCAAGTTCTCTTTCTGTGCTCCACAAGCCAAGAATATAAAGTTCTCTTTCACAATGGTAGGCCAAATCTAAAAATCTCCAGAGGCAAAACATGGAGAGAGGGATGGGGGGACACAACCAACACAGTTCATACCTTTCTTAAAATGTATTTCTCTTTTATGTTGATACAATACCTTTGGCTTTTTTTGCTGGGCACTGCAGTCTGCAGTGTCATACTGTGGGTAAAGACATACAATGCCCATGCTATTAGCTGTTCCTTTAACTTCCAGCTTCTGCTTTTGACTATGGAAAATAAGTACTGGCTGCCTAGCAGAGTCTGCACCAACAAAAAGCCATTTTCTGAGTTCAATTAGCACTGTCTGCACACTGCTGAGAGTCCGTATCGATCGCTGTTAACCTACAACACCAGACCAGACTGTATACCACAGAGCTGTTTCAACGACAAGCCCTACAGCCAACTTTTCCTATTTTCATTATTCCTTATTGTTTCCTATTTTAGCCTCTGCACTTTCCCCTAAATGCACAAAAACATTCTTGCTAATGCAAAGAACCACTTGTCGTCTTATAACAATTATTCCCTTTGCGCTACCTCTTGGCAAAAATCATTTCATAAAGAAGTACACCTTGCAATGCAAGTCAAATGACACCTAACAAAAACATATGAAACACACATAGTAATACTCAGTCATTCATGTCAACTGTATTTCTTGCAGCCATCAAAGCAACCAAACGGACCAACTGCAAGGCAGAAAATAATTCTGCTCTAGTCACGGTCAATCATCTGAGAGCCAAGAAGCCTGTCCTGTTAATGCAGACCTCATAACGTCTACAAATTAAAATGCCATTTAAATCATACACCTGTGGCCGCAATGGTCTTTTCCAGTAGCAAAAAGCTATTTCAAAGCCTATGCTGCAGTAGAGCTGTTCTTTCTTCTTGTTTTTTTCTCCCAGATCCCTTTTCCCACTTTGTTTCAACAAAGATTTATGTTCAGACCATTAGTGCTAGCTTGTCTTAGAGATTTCTAGCAACCACTAGCTGCAGCCAAGTTTTAAATAGACAATTATGAAAATCTGATGTAAAACAAAGTTCACAGTTCTAGTCTTTTCAGAGGCCAGAGAATAGACAATCAATGAAAATCTAGCTTATTGATCCCTTTTCACCATGATATTTTGAGGTTACACAGCAAGAAGGTATAAAGAAAAATAAAAAGATAAAAAGATAAAAACACACAGGAGATTGCTAGGAGCCTCTAAGCCATTCCCAATAGAAAAAAAAATGAAGCCATCTTATTAAAAGAGACCTTTTCTATACTTCAATAACACACTGTGTATAGCCTTTAAAACATATTAAAGAAAAAAATACAATCGAACCGATAAGCCTTGAGCACAGAAATCATTCTTTAGTACAAACCTGGGGAAATGCACTGGGGCGAACTTTGTGGAGATCCAGAAGGTCTGTGCTGCAAATCTTTCTGCTATAGGAAAAAATACAATATTCTTACACATACAGACCAAACCTTCAGTCCAAAATGAATCGTATTTTTCCTGTCATATAGCACTAACTGTAAGTGAAGCTGTATACTGAAAGTATTAAAGATTTGACACAGTAACAGTTTTGATTTTTTCACATTCCATATAGACATTAACAGTTTGTATAAAAATCCCATCAAGTATAAACCAGACTGAAATAGAACCAAAAATGAAGTTACAGCTGAATTAAAGCTATGATCATAAATAATTTATTAAATGAAAGCAAACCCTTTATGTAGACAGTCTTCACCTACACTTTTTTGCCATTTCATTTACAGCAATACTAACTAAACTAACCCAGCCAGTTTCAACCAAAATTTAGACTGCCCATTTAAAATTGCATCTTTGGTCATCTGCACAATTCTCTCATTCTTACAACACTAGGATATTACAATTCATTGAGATACAATTTATCTAAGATGCAAAGAAATTAAATAAGTAACACAGTCTGTAACAAATGGCTTTTTGGGAGTCTCGCTTTACTTTGAGGATCTCATTTCTGACTTCATTCCCCATATCATTTTGTGCTACCGCTCCCTCTTTGCTCTCTTCAGGAAGGGTTTGCAAGGGCTGATTCAACCATGAAAGTTTGGGAGACGGTAAAGAGTGGAAATGAAAGCATCAGAGCAAGTGAATTGTTAGGTTTAAAAGGAAAATGCACAATGCCTCGATAAGTTTAGAAGTATATATCAAAAACACCACGAGAACATTTCTGCCCTCAGAAGAGTTACATTCTAAATCACCAACAGCTGAAAGCACTTCCTCTAATTGCCCAGGTTTGAGCTGCTCTGCTCTCTCTTTCCCCCCCTCATAGTACTCCCTAATCTGCTATCAGTCTCTGAAATCATCAACACTTGCAGGTTAAAACAAACTAAAACTCCCTCAAGTATAATTAGTTTTAAGGAGGAAGAAATGATTTTCAAAACCAGTACCAGAATAAAAAGACCGACAGATAGAGAGCTACCTGAAACCAACCTGTGACCTTACATGCAATCACAGGCACCACGGTGACACAGATAAAAAATGAACAGCTTAGCAAGATATAAAGTTCATCACAGTTCAAAAATGAAATCACTTATTCTGCATTGCTCAGCTTATAAATAATACACAACTGTTATAACCAAATTCCCTTCCACCCCTCACACTCTTCCATCAGCTTTGAGATGGCACAACCTATTAAAATACAGCGGCATAAAATTCAGTGGTACCATATAACTCAGTTATGTTCCCAAAAAGAGTGATGAGCATTCTTATAAGGGTTAGTCACAGTTCTGACAGACGCAAGCAATGGTAAGTAATTTTCAGTACAGCAATAAAACGTTTCACTTTATTTTCCCTATATACATTGTCATAAATTACTACAATGAAAAGTTAATAACTATTCGATGTCTTGAAGATGTAGGGCACGACTCTGTACGGATGTAAATTAAAACACTTGCACTAAGTTAAACTTACTATGTCAAGCACTGTTATTATAAAAGAAGAACAAATTTTAAAACGCACCTTGGGTCTGATGCTGCTGCATTCAGCCAGTAAACTCTTGCAGTTCTTATGGACATTCACTGCACAATCTGAAACACACACATAAACAAAGCCTTAAATTATTCTTGTCATTCCCATCTAGGGAAAGGAAGAGTGGCACATAAAAGATCTTAATTTTGGAAGAGATGCAAGTAAGCTCAGGTGTTTCAGCTAGCAAACTTGTTGTGCATGTTCTGTGCTTGATTTTATGCCAAATACTCAAGCTTTTTCAATAAGACTCAGAATCATTGATAATGCAATTCACACATGCAAGCACAAAGAGATACTACCGAATGCACTAACGGCGTTATGCCTCATCTCCACTCGACCAGAGCACTGCTTTCCTCATCTTTGCAAAGGTTATTTCCATGTCTCACAATTCAAAATTGATACCATTCAAGAAGGCAACAATTTTTTTGGCTCCATAGGCATAGCTGCCTTTCTGCACGGAGTATTAGTAGGAGCTGAAGTAACTACAGTAAAGTTCAAAATGCACCACAGATTCATCCGAGCATTACCACCTTTCTAGCTTCACAAGGGAGATGTTTCCAGATAAAGGAACTAAAGCAGCCCTCTCTCACCCAAAAGGCTTAAACCCGTTAATAGTACAGTAACATCCAATCTCTTTTTTTCCTCATAATAACTACTGCTTGAGAAAACAGGATGACAACTGGTAGCATCAAATATTTTCTACAGTCTTTCTGCCCATCTATAAAAAAGATCCTTCATCAAAAGCAGAAGCAGGACACCAGCAACTCAGACAGTAAAGGAAACCAGGATTTGTTTCTTCTGATATATTTCAGGCAGGCCTGTTAAAGGAGAAATAGAACAAAACTGGGAAGATGAACACCATATCTGCTAGAGAAAATCCTGTTTATTTTTAAAGCGCAGAGAAAAAACTATTTAAGGTCTCTTCACCCAAACAGAACTATCACCCGTGCCTGGCGCCAAGACTGGTGATCTGCTTTAAGGGTCCTGGCTAACGTAGAGAAATGCTCGCTTTTAAGTATTTTCCATAATTACAGTAAAACTCTGAGAACAGGAGCAAAATGCTTACTTGGCCTTAAGCACAAATAAATTAATAAAGATATAAAAACAAGACTGAGAGAAAGACTGAGTGCACAGACCCAAAAGATGCTTACATGTTACGCAACTTCTACAAGTGTGGGAAATAAGAGAAGAATATAAGAGCAGAAGGGCACTTTGAGTGCCTGCCACACAAAAAAATTCCACAAAAATAATCACCTCCTGTAACTTCTCTCTAATTTGTGATATTTCTACCAATACCGTACCCCATGCAACAAAACAAAAGGCACTATATCTAATTTCAAATGTATGTGCCTCTGCAAATGTATGATAAAAATGTATCAAAATTATTCGCTTGCTAAAACTATGTAGAGGATAACAAATATATTATTTCAGCACTGATAAGGCCTCCACCTATCACCAGAAAATGAAGAGCTTGTTAAAAGACAAGCCACAACGACAAACAACTAGTTGACAATGGAAACCCCTTTCCTCCCAAGACAAAGGAGCGAACTGTAGGACAAAAATCACCACACAAAAGGAAACAGAAAAAAATTCTCCGTGACGTCAGGCTGGGTTGGATTCAAGTCTAGCTTACAGATGGGTTCCCTTCAGGGCAGAGCAGGCACACAGACGGAGGGAAGTGTTCATACAGCCACTGCCCCGCCACGCGGCCCCGCGACATCGCCTCTTCTCTTGAAAGCCTCTTCGTTCATCTAGAATTGTGTAATATAGTAATCTATAAACATTTTCTCCAACTTTAACTAGACATTCATATTCCCTGACATTTACATATCTTCAGCGATTACATTCGATAATTCTTTTCCTATTAATGATTAGTAGGACCAATTCTACTTCAAAAGCTTGGGTACCTTGTTAAGCTAACTGTAAAAGGAATATCAACTGAAAAATATATTTCAATTTTAAAACCATGCACTTGCTCTGTTAAAGATAACAGCTTATATCATTCTTGGTAGATATTTTTCACTTAATCAGTTGACATATCTAATAGTGCTGTGTGTTAGTTTCCTATGCTGCTGAAACACTCTTTACGAAACAGGAGAGAATATACTAGAAAACAGGAAAATGCTACAGAAAAGCCTCAGAAAACTACAGGTGAATCCAAGGGCTTGATCCTCTAAGAGATTATTTGAAATGCAATTAACTTAATGATTTCCAAGTGGCATTATTTTTGCCCACGTAACAGAAGAGAATTTTGAAAACTGACAGAGGAATCAGACTATTTTATAAGCATCCTTAATTTTATAAAATATGCTCCAGCTTTCTCTATTCAACACTTTTGCAGACAGTGCTGAACCAAGTACACTCCAATTAAGGATGAGAACAAGCATTCAAATGCTAGTGAATTTGATTTCCTTTTTCTGCATGTAAGATCTCTCTGCATTCTTTATTCTTCTGGACAGCCTCTCTGAACAGGGTGTTAGAGAACTGCAGGGGTCAAGAAAACAGCAGAGAGAAGAATGAGGGACAGAGGACAGTGAAGAAGTGACAGGAACCTGCACCAACTGAGACCGATATTTAAGAGCAGAGATAAATATGAAGGGTCATTATAGGTGTACAGAAATAATAGATATCTAACCTTAGAAAACACAGATGGGAGGGTTTTTTTCCCTTTATCATAAGAGGGGGAAAAAACCCAACTCACCACAGAGACCATCTAAAGAAAAGGAGCATTGGTAAATTCAGAACTCACAAAGAAAAATATTTTTACATGTACCATCAGTAACTGGTGGCATATGGTCTTATTCAGATCAAGAATTTGGGAAGGTACAAAAATGAAATGGACAGTTATGTCAGCAAGCTCTTCTCAAACTGGAGAGGCACAGAACTAAAAACTCAGAGGACTGCCACCCAGGCTCTTCCCTTCCTCTTCCCCATCTTCTCCTCCCTCCCTCCCTCACTGGAACTGCAAGAAGATCAATTTGGCAGGGAAAAACAGATCCTCCAAAGGATTTCATTTTGACACAGACTATGCAGAAGGGCCGTAGCTCTGGCTAGTGCTGAGAACACCAGTTAAGCTGCCTACACACCTAGAAGGTGCAAGGATTTGGGTTACCTCGAATGGATGGGGACAGGACCACCACTACTAGAGCTAAAGGTACAACAACAATCGATACCACACGTTGCATGGAAACTAAACAAACCCACCATCATTGCTTCTAGGCTTAAATCAACAGTTTTGGAATTAAGACTGAGAATTTTGGGAGCATCACATTATCCCACATCTGCTTACTACACCGACTGTCACTGCCTCTGAAGCATTTTGCATGGGCTAGTGCCAGGGATGACCTACTGCTCGTTGATAGACTGAAACAGGGGCCTCATCCAGCAAAGAAATATTTAAGACCAAAAGGCTCATAAACATCACAAAAGATTCTGTTCACGATTGAGGGTAATGAAATTAATATCTGGCATAATAAAAATCTTCCCTTATTAATGAGATGCTTTCCCAAGGGCTCACAGAAACCAATTTACAACTTAAGAGCATTTTATTGGACAACACATTACAATGCCCAAAAGCATAACCCTGATTCACAGTATGCAAGAGGGCAACGAACCCCGCTGAAAAAGGGCAGGCGAATACATTTTCTCCCCCAGCTGTCATACCTTCCAGTGGATGAGACACTGGCAATGTCCTATAAATGTCTTCCAGAATTGGATTCCAGGACAAATCTATGACTCACCAGATATTATGAGTATTATGACCCTGACCTTTGGTCTGGAACGGCACTGCCCAATAAAATAACTCTTAAAAGGCCATTTGCCAAAAACTACAACTAACAGTCAGATATGCTGTCATTAATCAAAAATTGAACTCCTGACTTTTTTTTGCTCAAGCACATGGCTTTTTGGCATTTTTTAAATGGCAGATTAAAAAAAACCCAAACAAACCCAAAACCAACACAACTTTAACACAGCTAAGTTCAGACAGGGACACCTTTTAACAGTGATTCTAATGATACAAGGAGTTCAAGCACTATTCTAATGCTAAGAATATACTCTCCACCTATTAAATCCAACCAGCTGAAGAGAGCTGTGGACAAAATAGTTTTCTTGTGAAATCAATCATTTTTCTGTTTTCAAATGTCTGATGCTTCAGCAACCAAAGAGAATCTCTTCTCTCTTTACTCACCCTTACACCACACAAGGTAATTCCTCTCTCTTGAACTGACGATAGGAACTTTTAGTTCTGAACAACTTGCACATGAATGATTAATACAGAATATAAAATCTGAATTTATACATAAAGATACACAACACGATGACTGAGAAACATTTCAAACAACTACAGCATTCCAGAAAAAGCTGAGTGACTTTGCGGTAAATCTCCTCAGGGAAGGGGAGGAGTTTCACTGGAACACGAAGAAGTTTCTGTATGCGGTAAATCCAGGTCAGGTATCTTCAGGAACTCAGAACAGATTTAACTTTGTCCTAGTGGCTTTGGTGACCGGTGTTTACTTGTTTTGCTAACTCACCCAACTGCATAGAGGCGGAAACCAAAAACTGGAAGGGTGCAGGGTGATGAGATACTTCACTTTCTGAAATAGAGACACTCCACGCGAGAGAGCAACACCACTAAATTATCAAGTTTCAGCTTCCCTGTTAAAGCATTCCTCTTTGTCTCCAAAAACAACCTATAATTACTTTCTCACTGTACCTGGTTTTATCATCAAAATATCAGATAGACGGATGAGGGGGTGGGGTTGTGTCATTCCCAACACTGCAAGTTCTGGTGGGCTTAGGCTTTTCTTTAAACACAGAAACCCAAACCAGATCAAATGAACAACTGATGTTTCTTTTTTTAAACGATGCAAAGTAAAATTAGCATATTATCCTAAAAGCAATACGAGTACCATTTCAATTCTCTCACGCTGCACCCTTCCCCCATTCTATGGGAACGCTACAGGACTGAAGCAGCAACTATGACAATCATAAAAGGTATTTAAAATATTTCATAGGTAAACATTAGGTGGAACTACAACACACAATGTCTGATGGCTCC